CACTCTCCAACCCAAACCAAAGGAGAAGATTCTATCTGCAGAGACAATAGAAAAAACCACAATTGGACTTTCACTCTTTCCTGTAAAACTGGGTCCCTTATGTCTCATGAAAGGATCTCCACAAGGGAGAAGCCATGTAAATGTTTGGAATCTGCAAAGATTTTCCGAACAAGTTGTCAAGTTACTTCACGTGAAAGGATCCAGACAGGAGAGAAACCACATAAATGCATGGAGTGTGGAAAGGTCTTTATTCAGCAGTCTAATCTGAATTCCCATAAAAGGATCCACACAGGAGACAAACCATATAAATGCACGGAGTGTGGAAAGAGCTTTACTCAAAATGGTCATCTTACTTCCCATAAAAGGACCCACACAGGGGAGAAGCCATATAAATGCATGGAGTGTGGAAAGACTTTTACTCAAAACAGCTCACTTATTTCTCATAAAAGGACCCACACAGGGGAAAAACCATATAAATGCATGGAGTGTGGAAAGACTTTTACTCAAAACAGCTCACTTATTTCTCATAAAAGGACCCACACAGGGGAAAAACCATATAAATGCATGGAGTGTGGAAAGACTTTTACTCAAAACAGCTCACTTATTTCTCATAAAAGGACCCACACAGGGGAAAAACCATATAAATGCATGGAGTGTGGAAAGACTTTTACTCAAAACAGCTCACTTATTTCTCATAAAAGGACCCACACAGGGGAAAAACCATATAAATGCATGGAGTGTGGAAAGACTTTTAGTCAAAACGATAATCTTATTTCTCATAAAAGGACCCACACAGGGGAGAAGCCCTATAAATGCATGGAGTGTGGAAAGAGCTTTACTACTAACAGTCATCTTACTTCCCATAACGGGATTCACACAGGGGAGAAAACATATGTGTGGAGCATGGAAGGAGCTCAGGAGGAGGAATGACCTAATTTCACATACGCAGATCTGTTTCGTTGAGAATCCATGTACATTCTAGATTCAATTGGTTAAATCTATACATTTTCTATTTGTGTACACTGACCTGGGAAAAGAAGATTTCTTTTGAGTCTGATCCTCACAACCCGCAACCCAAGGGAAATTAATTTACTATTGAAAATAAAAAGGCTGTTTTCATTATGAAATGAATTTTTGAACATACTTTTATCTCAAGTGGCCAATGCTATGCACACCAATAAGAGAAATTTATTGTTTATTAACTTTACGTTTATCCCAGCATTAGAAAGAAACCTTAGAAAGTTCCTCTCCCAGCTGGGAATAAACATGGAGGCAGTTGCTTGAAGGAGAGAGAAGAGTTGATTTTCCAGAGCCAAATACACAAGAGGATCAGCTGTGGGGCAGCCATGCTCTGGTTTCCCCAGGAGTTCCCTTATAGGGCAGGTCCTCTTGTTCCTAGAAAGGTGCGAAGGAATGCCAGCCCTTGAGGAATTCTTGGAAAAGGTGATTCCCGAATTCCAAGAGAGGTGAAATTGGTTGGGTCTTTAGAAGGGAGCGTTTTGAGGCCAGGCGCCCTCCTGCGGTGGGGTTTCCTGTGGTTCCCTTACCTGGTATGGTCTAATTGGCACCTAGATCCCTTCAGAGAAGAAATCTTCTTAAGATCTGATTAAGGCTTCAAGGAATGTTGGCCCTTCCTGCCAGGTCTTTAGTTATTTTATTTTGGATTGGGGTGGAGGACTCTTGATTCTTTCTGTTACGTCTTAAACTTTTTAGGTGAGCCTGTTCTTACTATAATTTAGTCATATGACTTCATTGCTGTTCGGATAAAGAAAGGAAAGGTGAGAGAAATGGGAAGCTTTGACTTTCTGCTGACATGATGGGGGGGGGAGAGAATTTGATTTCCTTTTCACACTCCCTTTTTCCTTTTGTGCAAAAACAGAATATTTTATGCACAATAAGTTAGGGAGTCTTGTAGCTATACATCATCCTGTGACTCAGATTCGTATTTTTGATCATTCTGCATCAAGATTAGGGATCCCTGCCTTGGGGGAAGGTGTTGATCTTGCTTTGAGAA